TAACATTCTAATACACTTTAAATTACAAAACAAACTTGCATAAAATCCTTACCTTAGATCATAATCAAAAATTCCCACAACCCAAACTTGAAAAGTTCAAATTTTCATGACTTGATATATAAACGTTAAAGAACTCGAAAACCTGCAAACCAAAAAACGTTCAACATGCATAAGTAAAAATTACATGGTGAACTTGAACATTTTAAATCTTTACCTAATACATAAGAGTTATAATGCAAACAAAAATCACGATACAAACATAAATAAAATTATAATGCAATCAAAATAATGAAACAAATCAGTATAAATATTTTACCTTATATTGCAACCAAAAAATCAAATATTGAACTTGAAGACTTCTTTTCAAATCTTCATGACATAATGCATAAAAAACTATAATGCAACCTGAATAACATAACGATACAAACATACATAAACTTATGGGAGAAGTGAAAAAAAAAACTWTGAAGATTATCAATAGTAAAATAGAAGAAAAACCAAAGAGAAAGAAAATAAATTTAGAGATGTATAAGATATAGATAGAATTTGAGAGGGTGTGAGAGATGAAGATGAATAAATAGTTGTTGTTTATATGTATATAAATAAATGATTGATGGGAAAAGATGAAGGGTTTGGAGTTATGTCATTTGAATTAATATAGAAGGAAATGAATGGTTTGGAGTTGAATGCAAACATTTAACAAAAAAACATAAATTGACAAAAAAATAATATAGTAGTGATATTGAGAGAATGAAGGAGAAAAAAGATAAATGAGGTTCTAGGTTTTAGGAGAGACCACTTCAAGCACTCATGGTTTATTCTTTAATATATATATATATATATATATATATATATATATATAATAATAATAATACATAAGAGTTATAATGCAAACAAAAATCATGATACAAACATAAATAAAATTATAATGCAACCAAAATCATGAAACAAATCAACATAAAATTATTACCTTTGCAACCAAAAAATCAAATATTGAACTTGAATACTTCTTTAAATCTTCATGACATAATGCATAAAACTATAATGCAATCTAAATAACGAAACAAACATACATAAAATTGTGAGAAAAGTGAAAAAACAAAAAAAAACTATGAAGATTATCAATAGCGAAATAGAAGAAAAACCAAAGAATTTGAAACTTCTTCAAATCTTCATGACATATAATGCAATTTAAATAACGATACAAACATACATAAAATTATGGGAGAAATGAAAAAAAAAACTATGAAGATTATCAATAGTAAAATAGAAGAAAACCAAAGAGAAATAAAATAAATTTAGAGATGTAAAAAATAGAGATAGAATTTGAGAGGGTGTGAGAGATGAAGATGAATAAATAGTTGTTGTTAATGAAGCTTAAATTCGAAAAAAGTTTATCATATCATGTGATTATAAAATATCAAAATTTTATTCGAATTTATATGATCAAATCGTAAACACATTTTATATAATTCAATCGTAAACACAATCATATCCTATGATAACAACACATCCAACAATATTGAAAAAGAAACATGTAATAACAAATCACATTTTTTTAATGAATATAATTTTTACATACCTTTTAAAATCTTTAAATTTTTCTTCAACTCTCATCTTCTTCATCCCTCACCAAAGGATTTTATATGATTTCATTTTGTTTATTATTGAAACTTTAAAAAACAAATTTCATTAAGAAATAAAAGAAAGTAAATGGAAGAGCAAATCAAGAGTTGGAGGTTAAACTTGGGTATACAAAATTACAAAAATAACCCGGGTTAATTATGAGCTATACATTTTTCATCAAGGGGAAAAAAAGTCTTTAACATATTCAACATTTAAAAAAATAAAAAAAAATGAGAAAAAAGATAAGAGGGGTTCTAAGCATTAGAAGGTGCCACCTCATTACATTTGGTTTCTTCTTTAATATATATATATATAGATATGTATTACGAGCTAATTTTAATTCTAAAAAGTAAATAAGAAAAGGAGGTAAAAAGACCAAACTACCCCTCACATGACTCACTTAACGGACCATGCTTTAACAATGAGTAGTAGGGACTTATTCGGGCTCCGAAACACGATTTTTGGACTACCAATGTATTTTATGATTCTGAAAGACGAAAACCAAAAGCAGTTATTCACAAGGGACCAAATATGTAATTCACTCTTAAAAATATAAGAGTAGGAATCTGAACTAATTATTTATCTGAATCATACATACATAAAACTTTAAAAGAACCTAAAAGAACATATGTATCATTTGTTGCATATGAATTATATATGGAAATACATTTATTTCTATAACATTATTTAATGCATTTAATTAAGTTATCTATTTTTTAATCTTTTTACAATATCAGTGATTTAAGCCCGATTAATGTTTCATATCATTTTTATGACATTTAAAATAAGCTTGATTTAGTTTTTTATTCAAAAAAAAATTAATTTTTATTGGGGTAATTTATTCAAGGGGTTTTTTTTACAATTCTTTTTATCAAAATCACATATGATATCCACAATTAATCCGCATTTAAAAAAAAAACGTTAATTTACGTCAAAATTTCAGATGTGATATTGATCACAGTAAATTTAAGTGGAAAAGAAATGTAAGTTACTTACAACATGAAATGTGATATTTGTAAATTATGAATCGCGTTTTGAATCACATGTGATTCTGTTTCCATTACTTTTTTTTCCAATGTTTAATTTAAATCACCGTTTTTCACGTTATAAATTACATGTAATTAAGAAATTTTTTTAATAAATTCAATTAATTGTGAATCATATGAATTTGACTAAAAAATGTATTTTTTTTTCTTAAATATTGCCTTAAATAAAAAATAAAATTTTTAAATAGAAATTAAATTACTCTATTTTAAATGTCTTAAATAAAAAATAATTCTTTTAAATAAAAAATTAGATCACATTAAAATCATAAAAATGCTAAAAGAAAATTATTAAATAAATATCTTAAAAACTCTTATATAAATAAATGACTTTAAGTCCTTATTTATTCATTTTTGGACTTTTTTATCTAAGACATTATTTAATAAATTATTTGTTCTATATTCATTACCATATCTTCTTATTTGGTTATTATTCTCGTATAAACCCGACTTTATACATAAGGGTCTAATTCTCAGTAGTTTGTGATAATGGTGAAATCCAACCTTAGTCAATATATTATTGATATTATCTTTTTATTATTTAATTAATAAAGGGTAATTAGTATTTTTTTTTTTACTACTCATTTTTTTGTTATGTAGTTTCCTTAAATGTCTCCACCAAAATCCAACCGACCTATAATGGTTATGATGATCATGATGAATGGATCTGGTCTCAACCGTTTAGGTATCACAGTGGGTATGTGTCGTCTAAAAACACATATTAGATCTCATCTCAACCAACATTCAGAAGGGTATCAAAATCGGTTTGTGTCTTACTGTTTAAAAGTTCTTGGGTATCGCAGTTGGTATCAAAGTGGGTTTGTATATTACTATTTAGAAGTTATTGTGTATTATAGTGGTGTATGTTAGAATAAGTTTGACCAGAGAAAAGTTCGTCGGAGAAAGGAAAGAGGAGAGAGGTATTTAGAAAAAGACAACTTTATCCTTAAACATTATCCATAAATTTAATTTTTTTTGAAAATTAATGGATAATTACCAAAATTAATACTTAAAAATAGCCATTGTTTATTAATAATGTATGGCTAAGACAAGATCTCGCGGTTATCACAAACAACCAAATTTTCCGTTCAATGTCCCCTATATATGTGTGTATAGGGTTGGATTCAGGTAAGAACTGAATGAAAGTTATAGTGAGAATGGTAAGATGGGATCTCCAGTCTTAAATCAGTTATAATTGAAGATCAACACTAATGTAATGCACCAAGATGCACTTGATAAATTCCCGTGATAGGCCCCTAATTCACGGGGTGAAAATTAGATTAAAAGTGATCAAGGGTCCAGATCATTTCTTACTCTTCTCACCTTAACTTCTATTCTCACGCGATTATTCATCTGTATATTATATATACATACGTACCACGTAGGCAGGGTTTGATGACTAATATATATCGTGTTAGAGTCTCACATCGACTCGATTTGGACCATTTCTTCACCGGAATATCCTTTCTCGCCTCAAAGATTCTTTTAAAGGGTAATATGGGTATTCCACATATTTTCGCATACTTTCGTTATGCCTCGAAATTAAAGGCAAATAAACTAATTCAAAAGGATCACTAACTTGTGGAAAAGATTTTAAAGCAGAACTAAAAGTCATGTTTTACAGTTAAATCTATGTGTTCCATATATTCTATCACATGCTTTGTATGCATACTCGAATTCTCTTCTCCCTCGAAAGGTAAAAGAAGGTATTTTTGAAAATATCAAAATATTATAAAGCAAAAGCTAGAAAACATGTTCTAATTGTTACATGTAAATTTTGGTTCAATAAATTATAGAGAAAATGGTGAAATTAATATTTTTTTTGATTAACCTGGATATCCAACCCGCTATACGAGCCGACTAATTTTAGGATGACCACCTGCTTTGCGGGTAGTCCGGAGTCACTGCATTTTATCCATGGCCACAAGGGGATTTTTATTCCTCCTTGAATTTAAACTTGAGACCTTCAAACACTTTGACCTTTGGAGCCCAAGCTCAAACCAATCAGGCACCACCGTTGTGGTTTGGTGAAATTAATTTTTTTTATTAGCTTGAATATCCAACCCGCTATGCGAGCCCACTAATCCCAAGACCACCTGTTTTGCAGATAGCCCAGAGTCACCGTATTTGAACCTCCATGGTTATAAGAGGATTTTTGTTCCTCCTTAGATTTGAACATGGAACCTTCTTGTACTTTTGACCTTTAGAGCCAGCACCATGCTCATGGTTGGTGAAATTAATATTGACTCTCACACTATCGTCACCCTTTCTCTCTCTATATATATCTCTGTATCGACTCCATAATAACTCCCTCATCTCTCTCTCTCTCCCCTCCCGCTAGCTCTCAGTAATAATTTGGTTTTTTTGCCATGGTGTCTGCAGAATTTGCTCGCACAGCAGTTGGTATTATCGGTGAGTAAATATGAACGCACACAGATCTCGATCCTTCTTGATTTAAGAATAGACATGATTGAATTTCGCGTCTTAATTTTTCATTGCCTGATGTTCTCTTACCGACTGTTCTTCAAATTTCGATTTCAAATCATGTGGATGTGATTCAATCACAGCATTCTGTGTGTTAATTTGTTACAGATAGATGAAATCTTCTGATTATTACTTGAAATGCAATCTCTGTGTTTTGCATTTGTTAGATGGAGATCTAGAGATGAAGTTAATTTTCTGGTTATTGAATTGTAATCTCTGTGTTTTGCGTTTGTTAGAGAGAGATCTAGAGAGATGAAGTTAATCTTCTGGTTATTTAATTGCAACCGTTCTTCATTGTGTTTATGTTGATGTTCTATATTTGATCTGAATTGTTGCTGTTTCAGGAAACATCACTGCTCTCATCTTGTTCTTATCTCCTGTGTAAGTCTTCTCCGTACACTACATTTTTACACACACACACATATGTATATATATATATATATATATATATATATATCCATTATCGATATCCATATATCCATATCTATATCCATAATTCCATATATATCTATATATCTATATATAGATGTATGTATGTCTGTGTGTGTATATCCATTGTTCCTCTTGGTTGTTAGAAAACATGACATATTTGTAATTTCCCAGTCATGATATGCAAATGCACCTTCACGAGCTCAACATGTTATTGAAATGACAAATTTACCCTCCATCATGCAAATGCTATTTTTTGCTAAATGTCAATTACTTCAAGTGGTAAAAGGGCAGATTGGACCTTACATTAATTAAGGTGCGAAAGGTGAAGGCCAACTGCCAGGTCCCCAAGTGTATTCATCTTTTTTGGATCCTTCCACAATTTTGTAAAACTCGAAAATTTTCAACTAAATATAATTTCCATTTATATAAACTTCGGAATTTATTAATATATTTTTATTATAAAATCATATATTAAAAAGTAAATTACCTTTGTGGTTTGTTAAAAAAAATTATCCACAAAGATGGTGTCTGTTTGGTTTGAGTTTGGTTCCAAGGGTCAAATACTTGGATGTTTTAAGTTCAAATCTAATAATGAATAAAATCCCCTTTGTAGCCACGGAGATTCAAATGTGATGACTCCGGACTACCCATAAAACAAGTGTCGTTCTAGGATTAGTCGGCTCGCATAGCGGGTTGGATATCCAAGGTTAATAAAAAAAATTGCAATTTTTGTTCTTATGGTTTAGATATTACGGTTTTCGTCCTTATGATTTGTAATTCATTGTTATTTTCATTCTTATGATTTATAATTTATTGTTGTTTCGGTCCCTATGGATCAATTCTTTACTGTCATGGTCTTTTGTACTTAAAGGTAGAAATTAGTTCAGAGATAAAAATAGCAATAAATTGCGAACCATAAGGACCAAAATCACAATTTGTAAACCATAGAGACGAAAATTGAAATTATTAACAACCATAGGGATTTCCATAGTTGTATCTTGTTGTCTGATCTACCAAAAATATGATAGTTTGACTAAAAGAAGTCAAAATAACGTCTTTTATTTTGGCTAAATTGTCAAGACTAATGAACGGTTGAAGATATTTCAGGCCAACATTCGTAAAAATTGTGAAAAAGGGGGAGGTAGAGCAGTTCTCACCGATACCATACCTTGCCACCTTTGTGAACTGTGGGATATGGGTGTTGTATGGACTTCCACTAGTCCATCCTCACAGCTTGTTGGTCATTACAATCAATGGCTCAGGGTTCGTGATCGAGACAATATATTTGCTACTCTTTTTAATCTACTCTGACCGCAAGCAAAGGGTCAAGGTACTATTGATAGCGCTTGCTGAAATACTGTTTCTTGTCGTTTTAACCGCTTTGGTCTTGACTGTCGCCCATACAACCAAGGTTCGGTCAAGCATTGTTGGTAGTATTGCCATTGTTGGCAATATTATGATGTATGCATCACCCTTATCCGTTATGGTACGTCATTCATTTTCTATTTCAATATTTTTTTTAGTGTTTTTAACAAGTGTACGATTCAATATAATAAAAGATGGTTCATATGTATTTATGATGCAGAAACTCGTGATAACAACGAAGAGCGTGGAATATATGCCCTTTTTCCTCTCTTTATTTTCCTTACTCAATGGTATAAGTTGGACCATCTATGCGCTCATTCGCTTCGATCCGTACATTGTTGTAAGTCGCTATCTCCCCTCTTTATAGAATTAAAAATTAATTACAAATCAATTTATGTAATTTTTCCAAAATTTATTACTATTTTGGTTCATATTTTTATTTTATATCTTTTTTCTAATTAAAGTTGCATTATTTGATTAATATTCTTCAAAACATTATTTGATTAATATTTTTCAAAACATTATTTGATTTAAATTATTTTTTAAAGAAACGCCATTTTTTATAAGTTTAAATCCCTGATTTAGCTTTTCTATTATTATAGTTTACTTTTTTAATTATTAATATTTTTTATTTAGTCCAGAAGTTTCTATATTTGTATTTTTATTTAATAAGGTTTTAAACATTTGATTAATAATTAAATATTTTTACAAAATCATATAATAGGTGAATTTTTTATGCATATATATGCAATAAATGTTTTGAAATTATCTAAACACATACAAAGTTTTGGGTTATAATTATTTTTAACGGGTTAAATAGGAAAAAAAAAACATGTCTCAACTTGATCAAAATTGCCATTTAAATGTATACAACCTTTTTAGTCGTTTTATTCAAAGTATTGTATTATTATTTTATTGATATTGTTATTTAAACCCTATTTAATATGTTAATTATATATGTAACGTAAAATGACAATGAATGTACAATCGATCATTTTAGCTGGTATAAAAATTATAGAGTAAATTACGTTTTTCGTCCCTATGATTTATTAATTAAAAAAATGAGATTTTCATTCTTATAGTTTTTAATTTATTACGGTTGTTGTCTTTATAATTTACAATTTATAATTTTTTGGGTCCTTGTGGCTTATAATTCTTTAATAAAAAAAGAAAAGAAAATTAATTTTATGTTCTTGAACGAGAGAGAAAGAAATTGAAAAATGTCATTTTTATAAATATACCCTTATTTGTTTTATAGTGGAATGTAACTGATTGGTAGATATCTAATTTTATAAATATTTTTAATTATTACTAGAAGGGTACTCGCGCAATGCAGCGAGATACATCTCGATTTTAGTGTTTCGGTTTTTTTTGTCTTAGTAAATATTATAATACGGTTTTATGTGGTTTTGAGAAAGCGATACTGTTTTTATTTTTGAATAAAATATAAATATGGAAATATCATAAAAAATAATAAAAAATATTATTATTAGTACCAAACTAACTATTTGAAATTTCTTGTTTTTTTGTGTATTTCTGTAATTCATTTTTTTATTTTTTATTTAATAATATAATTTTTTTATAAAAATAATAATTAAGTATTTTGTTAGAACTTAATGATTATCATAATTATATTTTAGTTTTTTTATATTTAAAATGAAATGTTTATTCTCTATTTGATTATGTTTATCTGAAGTTAGTTACACGAATTCAAACACGAAGCATTAATAAGTTGTACTTACACACAGTTTACTTGTAATATTGAATTTTAAGTAATATACATCAATAAACAGTACTTCATGCATAAAAAATGGTTTTTAAGAATTTTATCTTTCCTTTTCTTCCCATTCCAAGAAAATCAACATAATTTCCTTTTCCATCCTCTCCTTAAAAAAACTAGAGAACACAACGGTTTTTCCTTACCCACCTACCTTCCTTCTTTTCCCCTTTCTTTCCTTCATAAAAAAGAACTCGAGATCACCGCGTAAATGTAGGAATTAGTTAAAGAACCAAAATAACAATAAATTGTAAACCATAAGACTGAAAATTACAATTTCTAAACTACATAAAACAAAAGTTGGAATCATTAACAAACCATAAAAACAAAAATCACAATTTACTGAAAATTTGATGTTTTTGACATGTTATTCATCTGATCTCTATCTATCAGACCCATCGAGTTTACAATTTTCACAATACAACATCATATATGTTTTCCTAGGTTGTGTTGTGGTCGTTAATTTGATAATGGGCTATTTTTTGGCAGATACCTAATGGGCTTGGATCACTATTGGGCATAACCCAATTAATACTCTATGCCACCTTTTATAAGTCAACAAAACGACAGTTGGCTGAAAGGAAAGCAAGTGTAGAAATGGGCCCAAATGCAGGCTCTATAAAGAAAATTAATGTGGCTCATAATGAACATCCTTAGAGTTAGAGATGTGAGCCCAATAGAATTAAACCCCGTATAAGAAGAGCATGTGAAATTGTGAGGGAAATGGTTTTTTCTTTCTCTTTCAAACTTTAGTTTTTCTAGTGGTTCTTTTTCTTTCGGTAAGGTAAGGTAAGGTAAGGTAATGTAATGGATGGTATTTTGATTCTATGGGTATTTATTAGAGTATCTAAACTTTATAATTGTTGGGTTTAAATTTTAATATTTATATTATACATGAATTTTGTTTAAGTATATAACGTTTCTTTTGATTTGTAGGATTTGAGACTAAATTTCGTTTTAATCCCAATCTCATGTTTCGTTTTGAACAATATTATGGTTTTGAAATCCCGAGAATTCATTGAAATCTTGCAAATATAGGATTTTTGCAATCTTGTTTTCTATTTCAAAATCCGATCAATGTCATGTTCTTTGTAAGACATTAATATGCAATGAAATCACACGGTGGGATACCAGTAACCATTAAGGCAACCGTCTCATTTGGACAAGAGATACGTTTAAGAAGTTTCCAAGAAAATGGATGTTATCTGATTTCGTGAGACATCTCTCTTTTCTTCATAAATAGAGACGGTTATGACCGGACAATAGAGTAAGCAATATATAGCTCGTGCCACATTCGGATAAAAACATCTCACTAATCCAGTTTATTCTAATTTGTTCGAATATAATTTTTTTTAATTATCAGTATCATATTAGAAAAACTACAATCCTAATTTGGCTACAATATGTTGTAGTCGTGTATTATCCTTAACTTTTCAGCATCATCAATCATGGTAAAAGGTCGTGTTGGTCAAGGTTAAATGATATTCATAAAATTTTAAAATAACTCCAACAAATTTCTATAAGGTATTTAAAATAGAGAATCAACGGTTAAAAGCTCTTAAAAAATTAAATCAAGCTACAACAAATTCTTTATTTTAGAAATTTCGACATAAACTGTATCATTAGTGGAAGAAAATGGAAATAAAATCATTTATCTTTTTTTTATATTAAATTTTAAAGAATTCTTTAAATTTGAAGCTCTATTTTGTTTTAGATGATAATAAAAAAATTTCATTGAAATAAAATAGAGAAAAAAATTTAAATTTTCTTTATTTCATAATATATGACGGAGATAATCTTATACTCTGTAAAAGTTAAAGGTGTTAACGGTCTGGTATGAACGATTTAAGTTTTTTTTTTAACAGACTAGATCGTAAGTGGCGGTTTGAGAGAGTCAAATTTATACGAAAATGATATCTATTTAAAAAAAAAAAAAATGAATATGGACCATACATTTCATAAAATAATACGTTAAATAAATAGTTGTTTTTAAAAATAAACAAGGACATAAAAGTAACTTAGTTATATAAAAGTCATTTAAGACATTCATTTCATATTATACTGTTACCATATTTGTGATTTTAATATAATTTAATTTTTTATTTAAAAAATATTTTATATTTAATGCATTTCAAATAATCGTTTTTAGTTTTCAATTAAATAATTCATTTTTTATTTAAAGTAATATTTAAAAATTTATCTTTTTTTTATAAAATCATATGTGATCCACGATTAATTAGTTGTTTTGCAAAATGTTTTCTTAATCATGTGTGATTTAAATTTTGGAAAATAATAATTTAAATTAAACATTGAAAAGAAATTCGCATGTGATTTGTAGCAAAACACGTTAAAAATGTATAAAATCAAATGTAATTCGAAACGTAATTCACAATTTACGCATATCACATGTAATGTTGTACATAACTTACATTTTGTTTCCATTGTAGTCAATATCACATGTGATACATTGACGAAAATTTGCGATTCTTTTTAAAAAGAGACATCGATTAATTATGGATATTACATGTGATTTTAGTCAAAAATTGTAAAATAATTTTAAATAAATCACTTCAATAAAAATAAATATTTCAAATGTAACACTAAGGGGCCGTTTACCAAATGTTTATCTGAATAAGTGCTTACTAAATCACATTACATTAACGAATGAATATGGTAAGAACCAAGAATCTTACCCGGTAAGAGCAAAACAAGGACCAAGAGTCTTACCTGGTAAGTGAGGGCAACAACGACTCTTATCACGGTAAGTGCTTACCGGTAAATTGTTGCATACGATGTCGTTTTGATGGATTAAAATCTTATTCAGTAAGTAAATGATAGTGTTAATTTTGTCGGTAAGCGCTTTACCGAGTAAGTGTTTTGGTAAACGGCCCCTTAAATCACACTTATTTTAAATGTTGTCAAAAATAAATGAAAAACTAATTATGCTTAAATCACAAAAATTATTTAAAAAAAATATGAATAAACACCTTAATTAAATGTATTAAATAATTTTTGTAGAAATAAATGAATTTCCATATCTATATGCAACAAATGACATGTACGCTTTGAACGATTTTTTTTAAAAGTTTTATTTTAAGACATTATTCAAATAAATGATTGACATAAAATTCTTCTTTTATTTTTTATTTAGTTACCATTTTTATATGAATCTTTCCCCCTCTCTCTATATATATATGCTCACACAAGCGGTGTGGCTGGTCTAGACAATCAAAGGAAATGCTCAACCGAACCGAATTGCACGGTTAACAATTCGCATACCAAACCACCAAAATGTTCAAACTATCAAAAACAGTCCGGTTTAATTTGATTTGACCAACTTTCATAGTCCATCAATATTTAAAATAAGGGTTAAATGTATGAAATAGCAACTTCCATAGATTTTCTTATTATAACATTCTACTTTTGTTTTTTTTTATTACAACAATATACTTTCAAATTATTTTTTATTAAGGCATCATACTTTATGAAAGTAGATTGCTATTATGGGTAGATTTTTTAAAGTACGATGCTTTAATAAAATATAATTTGAAAGTTTATAGTTGTAATAAAGAAAAACAAAAATAAAATGTTATAAAAAGAAAATTTATGATTATAGATTGTTATTTCATGAATTTAAACCGTTTTTCAATGATAAATTCTCTTATCGGGCCTACAATCTTAGCCCAATGGTCAAAACAGTTTGGGCTTGTAACACTTGATCTTGCAAGTTTTTCTTGCTTCACCAGCCTTTGCATTTGCAGCTGCGTATCGGTCATCACGATCTTAGCATTATCGCCGGCGAATCAACTGCATCGCCGTCTCCGGCGAATCCTTCTTACTATTCCATCGACATCCGATCGGAAAAAGGTACGTAGTTGATCATACATACATCATATAAATCTGTACCAATTAATTGTCATGATTTGTGTGTTTACTCTTTCACGATCGATTCAAATTTCTGATTCCGATCAGGTTGTTGGCAGAAATTATGAATGGAGAGACACCTAATTTCAAAAAATGGAATATATTGTATCCTGTTTACATAAACTCAAAGAAGACTATTGCTGAAGGTAGAAGAATTTGCGCAGCGAAAGCATGTGAAAACCCTACCGCTGTAGAAATCGGTGATTGTTGCAGCCACCTGAAAGTTCCTTTTGCAATTGAGGTTTTTTTAGCTTTCATTTTGATTTTTGTTTTACATGATCAATCCGTTTCGCAAAATGAGGCTATAGTTTCACTGTTGACATTAAATTGTTCAATTTCAACTTTAGACTGAAATAGATTCTTAAATTCCAAGAACAATTGACTAGAGTTTGAAGTTTTCCTTGATGCATACCTCGTTAAGCAATAGTAACTAGTGTTTAATAATGTCTAAAAGTTGGTGGTTAATTGATATTAATATGAATAGAAACTTGGCATGCGAAAACCACCACGTTTGACAGTGGCAGACCAGGATTTTTGCCGAGGAGGTGCACCATTATGGTGGATCAAAGGCTGCAAAGTCGCTTGATGTCTTTTTAACCGAATTCCACTGTTTCAAGGGATTTTCTAAGATGGTGTTTGGTTCTTAGAACGGTATCTGTTGAAGGAATTGGAATGGAATTTAATCATGTTTGACCATGCGTTTGGTTGGCAAGAATTGGAATGGAATTTGTCAAAAGAATTTGAACCTGTCTGTTTGGTTCGTCGAATAAAATAGTGGTGGAGTGGAGGCGGTAGCGGTGTAGATGGGAGTGGAGGCGGTACCGTGGTAGTAGCGGTGGCGGCAGTGGTGGCAGTGGCAGGGATAGTGGTGGTGATAACGGTGGTGGTAGGGATGAAGGCGAAAGTGGTAATGACGGTGATAGGTGTGGTAATGACTGTGGTGGGGGTGGTGAGATTGTGATGATGGGGGTCAGGGTGATGGTGATAGTGGTAATGACGGTGATGGCGATGTTGGAGGCAGCGGCAACAACGGTAGTGGTGGTGGTGACGACTGTGGGGGTGGGGTGATGGTGGTAATGATGGTGATGGCGATGTTGGAGGCAGCGGCAACAACGGTAGTGGTGGTGGTGACGACTGTGGGGGTGGGGTGATGGTGGTAATGATGGTGATGGCGATGTTGGAGGCGGTGGCGACAACAGTAGTGGTGACGACCGTGGCGGCGGCGGTGATGGCAGTGGTGACGGTGTTGACATCCATCGTGGTGGTATGGAATTGAATCGAGTAATTCTAAGTGTATTTTTCTTCAAAGATGCTATGAAGGAATTGAATTCCTTGCTAGAACCCAAGGAATTCACATTCCACCATATGCGGAGTTTGAATTCCTTACCAAAACTCAGAGAATGAACCAAACTCGAGAATAGAATTTGGTCAATGGAATTGACCATTCCAATTCTTTCAAATTTCCCCAGATTTCAATGAACCAAACGCCACCTAAGTTTTTAGGTTGATTTTGAGGGATTTTTAAAAGTTTTAGTTGATTTCAAGGGAATTTTCGAGAGACTTTTTTGGTTGATGTTCGTTGTATTTATCTAATATCCCAGAGCACCCCTCAAAGTTTAGCTTGTGCAACCAAAGGGCCTTTGGCCTAGCGGTATCATAGTCTTTGACCTCCTAGGAGGTCAGGGGTTCAAACCTCACCATAAGTGAGGAGGGTGTGTGAGTTTATTTATTGCATTTGCCATATATAAATATTATATACTTCAAAAAAAGTTTAGCTTGTGCACCTTACATACCCAAAAATAATCTACTCGCAAATAATCGGTTTAGCAGGTGCACGGGACCCGTTGGGGCCTTCATAGGTACGCCCCGGACATTTGAGATGGACAATTCAAACACGGATCCTTTTTATCTTTTATTTGTGCTTATCTCGAATAAGGGAATTTGTTGATAGAAATAGGAACATATTTTGTGAATTTGATGCAATTTGGTTCATTTTTGCATTTGAGAAGTACCTCTTTGAGTTCAATACAGTGTAGCTTTTTTTAGGTTGGAATAGTTGTTTTGTTAATTGTGATAAATTTTAGTTCTAACCCACTATGTTTGTTTTAAAGCTTGATAAGGCGTATCCACGGGACTTCATGCAAGTAGGACGAGTGAGGTTCATGCTGAAAAAGTCCGATGGGAGTTTATACAATCCAGCTATCTCGTCCAGTAAGCATAAACTTCTTCAAGCTCCCAAATTCATTTAATTTGTTCATGGTTTTTGCTTATCTGGTATGATTGTGTAGCTGATGATGTATAAATTTGCTAAGATGTCGATTTCTCTGTCAAGTAAGAATGCTGGTTCCTATGTCAATTAAATGATTCTGTGCCGGGGGGGGGGGACCCACTATGGTGCATATGGTGGCATGGGCCACCACTCGTAGTGTAAAAAAAATTAGGGTTGTGAAAGGTGTCACCGTATTATTTTGTTTTATATTTCTCGAAACTACAATGATAGCACTAGTTTCTCTTGGTAGAGTTCGTTTGCACGGTCTCTTCTCCCCTTCCAGGCTCAAGTTTCAATCCAATTTGTATCATTTTTTTAGCTTTTAAACTTTTAATTTCAAGTTCGTTATGTTTCTGAATTTTTTTTGGGATAAAAGACTCGAAAACAGGAGCTCACATACAAAAAGTAAAGAACTAACCCACAGAACAATGATGATTTTGTAGAAGGTCAATTTCCATCAGGATGGTATATACACATGACTGTGATCTAGTGACCGACAATATGCGCTGGTGCAACCCGATACAAATAATCATCTAGAGTGTGTAAAAGGTCAATTTTCAATAACTACATCAAATTAAATGGACATCAATTAGGCTCACATTCTAAGCATAAAAACTTATAGGCTGTTTTAATTTGATAACCTTTCCAAAATAGATCTTTGACAGTGGAGAGCTGGAAGAAAAGCTTTGACCTTTTAAGAAAATGTTTGGTTTACAAGCATCATATTCATCTGGTTTCTTCTAGAATCATCCAAAATAAACATTCAAAAACTTCATGGCTCGTTCATCGGATACCATACTTGTGTGTCGTGCAAATTTCTCTGTCTTGAATAAAATATAACATCTCTTGGCATGACCATACTCCAATTTAACACAAAAGTGATCTTTGTTTTTTTTATTAACCTGGATATCCAACCCGCTATGCGAGCCGACTAATCCCAGGGCGGCCACCTAGTCAGAACTTCATCTGGGATCGAATCCTACTGAGAGGTCCACTAGAGATCAGAAATTGCGAGCCGACTAATCCCAGGGCGACCACCTGCTTTGCAGATAGCCCGGAATCACCGCATTTGAACCTCCGTGGCCACAAGGGGATTTTTATTCCTCCTTGGATTTGAATCTGAGACCTCCTGGTACTTTTGACCTTTGGAGCCAAGCTCAAACCAATCAGGCACCACCCTAGTGGTTTAAAAAAAAAGTGATCTTTGTTAGGATCCTCTATAATGGTACTGTTAGAAATAATTAGCTTCTTATGGATTCAATCTTCCTTGCCTTGTTGCTTTAGCATGATGAACGAAAATTGAGGCTATTATATATACTGTTGTGTTGTCGAGTTCTGTTAGCTAAACGTTCTTCATTTGAACATATTGATATAGCATTTAAATTAGTCAATAACTAAAGACAACATTACCCAATAATCACATCCCCTCCCAAAGAAAAGATATACATACATTTGCAGTTAAACTATCAATTTCTTTAACGTACTAGCTGCTTGACGTTTGATAGTTTTGAGGTCGACCAAAATAGATATTTGAAGAGATAATTCTTTTCTTGTACCTGCCTCTATCTATATGTTCGTTGCTTTCTCTCAACCAGCTTTTCAAATCTTTATCATATCTGGCTTGCTCTTTTCACGCTCTTTACAAGCTAAGGGGTCTTTACGGAAACAACTGATTTATTCTATACCGTATAGGTCACTTACTGTAATCTTAGGGGCCGTTTGATTGGTTTTCCATTAAGTCCTGTATGGATAAAACCTAAAGTTGAACCACAAGGGTGGTCCCTGATTGGTTTGAGCTTGGCTCCAAAGGTCAAAAGTACCTGGAGGTCCCAGGTTTAAATCTAAGGAGGAATAAAAATCCCCTTGTGGCCACGGAGGTTCAAATGTGGTGACTCCGGGCTATCTGCAAAGCAGGTGGTCGCCCTGGGATTAGTCGGCTTGCATAGCGGGTTGGATATCCAGGTTAATAAAAAAAAACATAAATTTGCCTGTATAAATTGGAAGGTTTTTGTTTGGGAGAGTTGTCTCATAGATGGAAGGAGTGTTTTTCAATTTGGAGGGACATATTTGGAATTTTTTTGACTTTTTGCAAAAAACTCCCCCTAGAAACTTATTGAATAAGTCATTGAATAAGCTGTGAGTCTCATTGAACTCATTAAGTTGCTAACAAACAAGCTCTAGACCCCACCTCCAGTTGGAATACGCCAGATTCATTTGAGTTGGTTTGGTTAAGAGAGAATTTGCATGAATATCGTATGAGAATTTGCATGGGTCTGTTTGGTTTGATCTGGTCTGTATCATTACAATAAAAGTGGCTTAATTATATTGCAGAAAAACAGCTGATGCTTTATGTTGCTGAATTGGTTCCAAGACATCCTGGTAGGGTAAAGAAACAGGAACCTGTATTGTCTACCTCAAATGCTGGACCATCTAAATCAGGCAAAGGTGGCAGAAAGAAGAGATAGATTCTTATAATAACCCTCTTTTTCTTTTGATTATTGGTTCTAATTCACACCAAATATCAGATGTTTCATGTGTTCCCTTTCAACATACCTTAGATTTTGGTCTGTTTTCATCTCATCGTTGTCCCACCCATGAAATTAAGACACGTGTTTTCTTTCTGATAATGTATATTCAGACGATTGGACTGGAATGAGACGTAAGAAAACCACAAGGCTGGTGCCTGATTGGTTTGAGCTTGGCTCCAAATATCAAAAGTACCTGGAGGTCCCAGGTTCAAATCCAAGGAGGAATAAAAATCCCTTTGTGGCCACGGAGGTTCAGGTGACTCCGGGCTATCTGCGAAGCAGATAGTCGTCCTGGGATTAGTCGGCTCGCATAACGGGTTAGATATTCAGGTTAATAAAAAAAATGAGATGTAAGAATTTAAGAGGTTTTTATCTTCATTTCGTACCATCAAGTAGATGGGATTCATTATTACATCTTTATTTTGTATTGTAAAATGTAAATGTGTTGGCCTTCATGCTTTGGAGCAACCATGGACTTTACTTTGGTATGAATATTGCCATGGTGAGAATGGAAGTTATTATGAGAAACGTAAAAAGAGATATTCACTTTTGAATCAATTTTAATTGAAGATCAACACTAATGCAGTGCAACAAGATGCACCTGATCAATTTCTGTGATAGGCGCAATTCATGGAGTGAGGGCAAGATTAAAAGTGATTGTGGGTCTAGATCCTTTTTAACGTTTCTCACCTTTAACTCCTATTCTCACACAATCTTTCGTCGTATTGCATGATATATATATATATATATATATATATAGGGGACGTTTTATTTACAAACTATGCAATTCTAACAAACTTTACAAACTAATCTTAACCGTCAATCTAGTCTAATAAATATTTTATTTTCTAATCCAAAACCATGATCATGATAGATGAATTTTATCAAAATGGTATCGTATACAATAATTTATCCGGTAAGTGCTTACCATGGTAAGAGTCGTCGCCCTCACTTACCGGATAAGACTTTTGGTTCTTGTCTCGCTCTTACCGGGTAAGATTCTTGATCCTTACCATATTCATCCAATAAGGTCATGTGACTTGGTGTTTACTTACCCGAGTAAGCGCTTGATAAACGCCCCCTTAGTCTTTTTTGTATGTTCTCATCTTGACTTTACTGAGTTTAAACACAAAGCTTAGCCATATTGTAAAATGATGTACCAAAGTTTCAACCCGACCAACCTAACCCGTACGATTTGGGGTTGGGTTGTAGTTTTTCTTGGGTTGGATGAGTTGAGATTTTTTAAACCATAAACATGGATTAAATTGTTCAAATACCTTTAACCCGATCAAATCAACCCATATACACAACCCCAGCTCAAATGGTATGATCCTTATTGTCATCTCTAAATGACAAGTATTAACTCATAGTTATTAGTATTTATTTTATAGAATATTACATATCGTAGGAACATCTTTAACAAAATCTTCAAAATATATATTCTAAATATTTACAGAATCTTTAAATCATTCTTTAAAATGAAAAAAAATAGACTTTTTTTAATATTTCTAGAAATATACAAAATTTAATGTGTAGGGTAGAGAATGTGTATTGATTGTGCTTTTTTTAAGTCATTTAGACGAGAAAGTGTGATTTACTTCACAAAATTTATCATTATATTTAATATTTAATAAAATATAATCAATATTATGATCTTGAAAAAAAGATGTTATAATTTAACGCTTTTTAAAAGAGTAAATTATGATTTAAAAAGTCTATATTTTATTGTAAAATTATGTGTACAAATATTTCTTATGTTTTAAGTATCAGTGTGATGTAAAAATGATGAAAGCTTTAAATCACTTTTATAATTTGTTATCTATAGCTATTTGTATTCTTGATCTCCAAAACGATTTTTTTTTATGGTTTGTAAGATTTTTTTTTCTTTCAAAACGTTTTTTTTTTCCATTTTAAACAAGAAAATGATTAAAAATGATAAAGTGAGAAAAATATTGAAGAGCCGTTTTTATTTTTATCAACAAATTTTAAAATTAAATAGTCGTTTTTGATTTTGAAAGAAATCAGATAGATCTTCATTTAGGCAGATTCACATAACGTATTATTATAAATCCGAGTCCCCCAATGCAAGTAAAATTAGGTCCAAAAAATTTGGAGACCGTGTTTAAAAGGTACAATTTAAACTACAAGGGTGGTGTCTGATTGGTTTGAGTTTGACTCCAAAAGTTAAAAGTAGCTGGAGGTCCCGAGTTCAAATCCAAGGAGGAATAAAAATCCCCTCATGGCCACGGAGGTTCAAATGCGGTGATTCCGAACTATCTGCAACTCAGGTGGTTGTTCAGGGATTAGTCGGCTCGCATAGCAGGTTGGATATCCAGATTAATAAAAAAAGGTAAAATTTAACATGTTAATAGAGAGCTTACGCATACAAGTAAACTAATGCCAAGTAGGATTTAGGTGTCGTATATTTTCATCGGGGGGTTAAACTACAATAGTAGAGAAATATCAGGGTCTGTATGAGACATTTTCACGAAGTTATGGGGTCAAATTGTCCATACTGTATAACTTATGTACTAATTTGAAAATATAATAAAATACAAGGGGTTGTTAATGTAAATTATTTTGGGATAAATACGAACCGTGACTTCACCAAACAAAAATCAAAATTACTCGCCACTGAAACGCGTATTCGTAGGGCAAGCGATCGGCGAAAAAGGTCAATCTCAGCCAGTCGTCGTTCTCCGGTAAATTTTCCGGCATCCATTTCTCTCTCATCATGTCTCTCTCTCTCTAGAAAACAAAGATTCATATCACAAACTAACAGATCCTTATAAATCGTAGATTCGTATAAGCCTGATTTTTCATCTTTTTGTAGAATTCCTTCGTGACGGATACCGATATCTAGACCTAATTAGGTATATTGTTGTTTGGATGATTTGGTTTACTTGATTGATTACTATGAGCTTGTTTGTAATCGTTTTGTTAATTGTTTATTGAACATTTGCGAACAGAATATATAAAAACCTGATTTTCATCTTTCTGTAGAATTCTTTCGTGAGGATACGTATTCAGTTGTTGGCTGCTTTGATTGATTATTATTTACTTGTTGTAATCGTTTTGTTTGTATTGTTTATTGAAGATGTATGATTCAAATATATAAACACTTTTTAAGTTTTTTGTAACAAGGAGTTGATTTTTCTCGTAGAAATTGCAATTTTTTGTATGTACATGTTTCTATGGAAGAGTTATAAAATCAAAATATAGAAATTAGTGATTTGACAAAAATTGTAATGCTCCCTCCGTCGAGAAAGAAAAATGATCTTCATTTTGGTTGTCTGAAAACAATGATATGGTTTTTTTTGGGCGAAGTGTTAACCTTAATTTACTTTTTTTTTTGGTTAATTTACTGTTTGGAAGAAGTAATTATGTTTTGGTCCATTTTATTTTGTCAAACAATTTTCTCAAACTACTTGATTTTCAATTTCCTTTTGAGGATATGCTGGTAATAGTAATAAAAAGAGTAACAATTGGAAAAGAATAATGGCTTTGGGTTTTGTATCCACGCGAATCCATCGTGATAAGAGAAAGTTCCAGCAGAGCAATTATTTATTTCAGGGTACCTCTTCTTTTTTTCCGAAGAGATATTTCTAGCTAGAAATAAACGGAAACATAAAAGAAATTAGTAGTTATCAATCACTTACACTCATGCTCTTTTATCATAAGCCACTATTTTCTTTATTTTGATGTTGATAACTCTTCCATAGAAATATTTAGATACTAAAAATTGAAATTTCTATGACAAAAATGGACTATTGTTTAAAAAACTGAAAATGTTTTCATATATTCGGTCCGCAGATCTTCAATAAACAATCAAAACAAAACGATTACAAACAAATTAATAATAATCAATCAAGTAAATCGAAGCATCCAATAACGGTATACCTAATTACGTCTAGATATCATGGTATCTTCAAGAAAGAATTATACATTTGGCTAGAATTCTAGATTTGCATGGTTTGGAATCTTGACATTGGGCTAGAATAACTGGACTCTTGTATTGTGAGACGAGAGCAGAGAGTAGAGAGAAATTGAGAGAAAAGAAAAAGTAGAAGAAGCTGTATATTTCTGTGTGTAATGAAAGTAAAAGGGAACAGTACTATTTATACAAGGGGAAACTAAACAGCCTAACTAATTAGAACTAACCAACAGAAAATAATAACTAATTCTAATATGTATACCCCTAGGATGGTGAAACATGACATAGTATCAACTTGTTTCATATTGTTCTTGGAACAAGCTTGGCATGATCTGGGTATGCTTTAGAGTAGAGTATGACACTTTGCTGTTGGGATCTATATATATTTATGATATATGTACAGTAAAACCTTACTTGGATTTCCTACCATGCTTGCTGAATAATGGAACGGGTTTGTCGTAGAAGTTGTTCCTAGGAAAGATTATGGTTCTTGGGTATCCAATCATTTAATCCCCCATTTAAGGTTTTTGTCTTTTGTCGAGACGAGTTGAATTCCAGCTCCAACGGGTGTTTGGTATGATGGAATGGTTTTAAGGAATTTGGATTTCGTGAAAGGATTTGGAAATGGAATTTTTGGTGGGTTTGGTTTGTAGGATTTGGAATGGAATTGAATTCCGTTCTTTATAAATAATTTATAAAAACGAACTATAAATAATTATATTACCTTTTTTTATCAATTGATTATTGCAAAACAAATATTTTTAACATAGTTTAAAACATTATTACATGCAAATCATATGAAATCCCTTTAAATACCAACCTCGTGGGATTTCAGAATCCTATGTTTGTTGGATTTCAAATTCGATGAATCCTTCAACCCAAACATGCAATTGGAATGGAGTTCAATTCCAAATCCCTTTAAATCCAATCAAAAACTTGGGGTTTTAATTTTGACATGGTTAGTTTAGTAATTTACCAAGCTTGTCTCATCTCCTTGATTTTTGTTCCACCTATTTTGGTAGGACCGGAAAAAAATGCATTTTTGTTCCACCAAGTTCTGTCCAATCCCATTCGAATTGTTCCATCAAACATGAGACAAGAAGTTTTTGTTCAGTGTCATGTGTAGTACCCTTGTAATGTCCCGTGTACCAAACGCATCCTTTTTAACAACAATCTCATTATTTTCAAATTTATATGATTTCTCCATACAGTAAATACTCATTTACTGTTGCCCATGCTTGTAAGCTTTAAATCTTTGAGATTGACCGATTGTTAGTCATTTGCTTGATAAACTCCGTTTCAACTGTTTTTTATGTAGATTTTGAGCACAAAGTATAATGGTTGGCGGTAGAGTTGCTCATCCGGTCCTGAAAGGCCCTAGCGTGGTGAAGGAACTCGTGATTGGAGCCGTGCTCGGTCTAGCCGCTGGCGGTTTGTGGAAGATGCACCACTGGAACGAGCAGAGAAAAACACGAGCATTTTACGACCTGCTTGAAAAGGGCGAGATAAGCGTTGTCGTAGAAGAAGAATGAATGTTGTTGTTCCTTCATCGTAAAATTCCGATGTCTACAGTCATATAAATGGGAGTTGGTCATTCGGGATTTCATAGAACATAAGAATTATGCATTGAAGTTGTGCACAAAGTTGCTATTTTCTTAAAAAAAAATGTGGGATTGCTGCTCTTCTTGATTCATCATTCATGTTATGGTTTGAGCCTGAAGTGATCTCCCTTTTTTTTTCTTTTTTGGTTGCATGCTGTTTGCTAGTTTTTGTTGTTTTTTAACTTTGTGTTCACATTTGCCAAGAAGTTCCGCTCTATTTTTTTTGGATAGAGGGTAGCAAACTCTTCCATTCGATTGGGATAATACTGGAATTGATGGAGGAAAGTTGTGGGGGCATTTACCAAACATTTAGACGGCACCGGACCACCTTCATTTATCTTATTGAGAAACATTCTTGGTTGTCAAAATAGGTTTTTGGTATGTTTTTTTTTTTATTCTGTAAGCGCTTATGGATGAGAGTTTTTTTTTTCACTTACCTGGCTAGATTAACGGTTGTTGTGTTTCTTGTCGGGTAAAATTCTTGGTCCTTGTTATGCTCACTTGTTAAATCAAGTGACACCCGTTAAATCTTTGGTAAACGGCTCCGTCAACCATGCTTAGGCCTTTTTTGTTAGCAACTTAAGACTTACAACTTATTTGGTCAGCTATTGTATGATCGTTTAATGATATAGCAAGAAGCTTGTGCGATAAGCTTCTAAGGGTGGCTTTAGAACATCGTTAATGGAGGTTCTTGTAAGAATCACATTTTTGCACTCTTTGTGTCACCTAACTTCTAACTCATCAATTTAATGTTCGTAATAAGAAATACATACAATTTTGAAAAATTGTCATTATTACACTTCTTAAATATAATAATAGAAAATGAGTTCTTTCGTCTCAAAATCTCTATTCCAAAAAGACCATTTGACTTCCTAATTGTTTGAGGGTACTCCCGGAAACAGATCCAGTCGGAATAAGAGAACACTCATCATGGGGTGAGATTACTACTTGGATGCGGCTCTTCGCCACCTAGGGCTGTAGTATATTCCAAGGGTTGAGCTGTTCGATGATAATTTTACTCTATGTTTAGAGAAAGTAATGAATTTTTCTGTCTCACACTTAAAGATAAAATCGGAAAGTAACACTTATTTTTAAAACAATACAGTTCCAATAAACATTAAGCAACACTGTATGTTTGATTTAAAAAATATCTCATATGGTTTAATACAAAGATAAAATCGAAGTTTGTCAAAATCTTACTATGGAAATCCATAAAATCAGATGAAATTGAAATAAATCGGGTGCTTGGTTTGTGAATCAGTACAAGCATCAGGAATAAGTGAGATAGTTGACCTCACGACAAATACTATTCAGTATAGTCTCCAAAAACATTATATGAACCAAACCTTCCCCCAATCTCCATAGTCAACTGGAATGAAGCAGACAAATTGAGGTAACAGAAAAGAGCATTATATTATGGGAGAATAATCAAATAAAAAGCACAAAAAGTTGAGAACCGTAAGAACCAGTTTTTATATGTTGTTTTATTATTGAAAAACAGTGTTAAACAACACATCTTTTCACGTACATTTTTGCACAATGTTAAACAACACATGGTCCATAGTTGTAGTGATTTGTGCTTGAATGCATAAAAGTAAGGGGTTGTTTGACAATTGCTGAATGGTTTGGTGCAGAATAATTAAAGTGGTCAGAATAATTAAGAGACTCTCATGATATAATGTAAAATGAAATATAATTGTTTGGTAATTGTGTGCAATGAAATCAGAGCTCTTAATGGTTAAAGGAGTTTTAGGATACAAAATCATTCAGAGTGTTTTAAACCATTAAAAAACAGATTTTTTTTTTGTTAAGCAAAATTTACCTCTTAACGATTCAAATGTTGCCTCTTAATGCAACTATTAAAAGGTAAACAAACAACCCCTAGATAAAATGAGTAAAAATTGGAAATTTTGAAACTTAAGGGGGGCTTTTTACCCATAATTTCAACCCATCGGGTCAAAACCCATTTACCATAGAATGAAGTAGATGACGAATCCCTTCATCACCGACATTTGATCAGTTCCCGCCATTACAAAAAAGCTCAAAATCAAATCGAGCCGACCATTCATTCTGAAATTTTGCTTCAATAGATGAAGCAATCGAACTCTAGGTATTGAAATTTTGGATGTTCAGGATCCAGATAAGAGCAGAGAAGTGAAGAAGAAGAAGACAAATGGCGGATGATGTAAGGAGATGGTCGGTAACCTACACGAAGCACTTAAAGCAGAAGCGTAAAGTTTATCAAGACGGATTCCTAGAGATTCAGTCGTCTACTCACAAGGTTCGTTTCGAATCATACTTTCGTTTTGCATAATCGTTCGATTTGGCGTCGACCATTTAGCTTGCGAATACATATAATGTTTACCTGTTTGGTTTAGAAAACCACTGTAATTGATCGTTCTGTTTTTGCTTTGAAATTTTATGGTTTCGTTGTCATTGTGATATCATCTACAAAGTCGACCTGGATTTGACTATCTAATTTTGATTTTGGCTTTTGTAACAAGTTATAAGTAAGAGCTAAAACTGATGCCATGTTCTTAAGAGATGTCGAACCACTAAAACCGATGTTCTTTTAGTATTCAAAGAAAAGTTATGGTGGTTCTAGACCACGAGAGTTTATATATCTTTAATTTGGGAATGTTGGTAGTTTATTCGTAGATTATATATTATTTGTTGCTGATTTACAGATAAAAGGTGTAGATGCAGAAATAAAAATGTATTTTTATGTATTCATAAAACCAAATAAACGCCATAAATCCCCACTCGGAAGTAGGGTCTAGGAAGGCTAAGATGATCTTACCTCAACCACTAGGATCGAGAGGCTGATTCTGTATTTCTGTGAAGACCGCAAGGTGTGTGCAAACAGGCAATAAGATTCTATTAGAAATTTATGCAGGGAATTCATTTTCTGATGATTGAAAAAGCTTAGTTTGTTCACAAGACCTTACCACCTTCTAGTGTTTGTACACGAGGGAATGCCACTTTAAAAATCAACAAGATGTCTATAATGCTATATAATAGTTTCATTTTCATTCTTAAACTGCTAAAAACTCCCACACAGCCATGCGTTGATGTACTTGTAATGCTAATCTACATGCTATTTCGTTGGGTGGTCTTGCATATTGGATTTCTAGTTGCCGTGTGTGATCAAATGCTCCAATATCCAATAATTGACAACCATGGTAAATATATGCGACCACCTTAGTTGCTACATTTTATTGTAAACTGCCTCAAATTTGAGTGTTAATAGTGAATGCATGCATTCAATCTCTTTCCATGTTACATATAAGGCAAATCTCTCGAGTATCTTTGCATATAAGATTTTTAATCATGATCTTTGATTTTAGAAATGTATGGAAGACTGAAAAGAGTAAGAGTACAAGTGATTGCTTTTGGTTGATAGAAAATATCAGCTACTTAATATTTAAACAACAGCATTGATTCTTCATGCTCATTAATCTTTTGACAGGTTAAGCTATACGATGATTGCGATAAACTTTTGGATTGCAAAATTGTGAAGCTTGATGATGATGTTAGATCGGGTGAAACATTAACATTTGGTGCTTATCTTGTTGATATTGGTGACCCTCATGGAGAGAGTAAACCCATTCCTAACTTGATTCTTAAAAGAAGAGACAACACTTTGGCTGATAGGGATGGCATTCCCCACAGTAGTAAGTTAAATAATAACCCAGCTTGTTTTTGTGATGTGTAGTTGGTAAATGTGACACCATTTCATGCTGTTCTTTTATCCCTTAGAAGCTAGCAAGCGTAGCTCAGGAATTGGTAAAGCATCATCAATCAATATGAGTCCATCACAGAAAATTATTAAAGGTTAGCTATATTACATTCATTGTCAAATAATATATTCTTTCTATCCAGGTTGATACTCAATAATTCCTTGTTGACTGTCCCCAAGTATATGGCCTTGTGCTCAAAATAGAAGTAGTCTTATCAATATTGAAAATATATAGTGTACCCTTACATCAGACATGAAGAAGTGTCTGATCAATATTGAAAATATATAGTGTACCTTTAGGTCCCACCAATAAAACAAAATCAAAAGTTAAGATTGACGTTGCTAAGTAGTTACAAAGTGTAAGTTTACTTAAATTCTAAGCCAAATTAAATGTGGATTAGTAAGTTCACAAACTGGCCACCCTCCTCTACAGAAGAGCTCACCTCCTTTAACCTTTCGTTTAACAACAGTGAACAATCATTTTTTGTATTTCTGATACTCTTTTCCTAAAAATACATGCCGCACATGCAAATACGTTCCTGAATTTACTAAAGTCCAATTTATGCAAAAAGCTTATTTTGTAATGATTTTATATGCCATTGCACTTACTTTATGCTTCATGATATCAGAGTTCAAGAGACGTGAGGTCAAAAAGTATTGTTCTTCACCCAGTTGTCCAGACACAGCAAAAGCCGATTCAACAGGTTGCTTCCTAAAAGAACAGTTTTTGTTACCAACTATATAGGAATCTGTTATGTTCGTCTTCTTACTGGGCATCATTATATGTTCAACTGAAAAGATCAGAAACAAATGATCTACTCAAACATCAGTTTAGTTTCATTCTTTGTAATAGTTGCATATTGCTTTCACGATGCTGATTTCATTTGCATTTTCCAATTAGAATGGCAGGTCTTGTACACCACTCAGTTAACACAAAAAGCCAAGAAATTTCATGATGGAATCTTAAGAGTTGCAATTTCTGGAATGCGAGGGAAGCAGGTTAAATTTTTGACATGTTATTTGTATACCCATTGAAACTGATACATATGTGTTCATAGTATTCCTTTTTTCAGGCCATGCTGTATGATGAAACAAGGAGACTCTTAGACAGCCGATTCCTTCGAAGTGAGGAAATTGTTAAGGTTGGCGAATCACTGAGATTTGATGGTCATATAGTGGACATAGTAGAACTCGGAGACCATACACCTCTCAAAGATACAAATGTTGAAGGAAGAAATTGCTATATGCAGAATACAATGCAGTCAAAGATTCACAGTGAGCATCTTGCTGATTTGTTATCTATCCTTGAAGTAGAATTGTGACCACGATGAAACATGATAACTTCTGTAGGAGTGAATGTTATATTAGTTTTGTGATACT